AGGGCATCTTCATAAATTTAAATAAAACACATTCGTTCTCATCTACTTGCTATACATGATGACTAATGAACCATTGGGCTTTGGGGCTTAAAATTGTCATTTGGTCGATGCAAAGAAACAAAATATCCAACATCATGACATGATAAATTAAGATTACATAAACCAGTTGCTATGTATTGATTGAGTCATGGACATGTGGGAAGGTTTTAGGAGTTGTGACTCATCATCATTCACGACTCATGTTTTGTACAAACACGAAATTGCTAGCATAATATGATGGATAATACGTTTTTTATTTACCTGAAAAGTCAAAATCAATATTCTAGGGCAACGGGCATGATGGAATGAAATAATGAATATGGATAATAAGTAATATGTTAATAAAATGGATGTCAGTTGTTAATACTTAATTCAGTTATTAATATGGGATTTGGTACAAGAAGTCAAATGTCTCGATTAAAAATTGACATGATCTAACCTTCTATTCAACGGTTAAAACGTTAATTGTTTTGGAATCTATATATATAAAGCAAAATGTAGATAATGGTGAAACATTCAAAAACTTTGAATATGCCCCTAGTCAAAGAAAAAATTAAAAGCAGACAATTTTAATTAAAAGATGGTGAAATAGTAAAACACACTAATTATTTTTATTTTTTATTTTTAAAAAAAGGGGGAAAAATGCGAGATGATTAGTTTGGATTGTTATAGGTTTAAGTGCTAGATTAATTCTGAAGCTATAATGAGGAATGAAAATGCAAGTGAGATTCATGCAAAGAATTCAATTTTTGATTTTGGAGGAATTGAATTTTTTGGTGGAGGTGGTATTCTAATTCATAAATTAAATCTGAGGTCATTTTCATAGGTGAGCCAGGGTAGGGACATGTATTTATTTGTTTTTTATTTTATTTCTGAACCGAAAGGGTTTTTCCTTTATGTTTCTGTACACCTATCCATTGATGGCTTTAAGATCCATTATTTTTTTGAAAAGGTTGATTTCATTCCATTAGAAGGGAGGAATAAAAGGCATGTAGAGTGTGGCCTCGTTAAAACCTTCCCGGAGAAAACCACAAGGGAAAAACCCCGGGGTAGGAAAGAGTACCACATATGCCAATAACGTACAGAACAAGGAAAATTACATAACATCAGAAAACAAAACATCCTGTAAGAAAACTGGGGGATCAGTAACCCATTCTGCTGCTTCCTGGGAATGCAGAGCATAGTGAGCCAGGCGAGTTGCAACCCCATTAGCCTTCCTCTCTGTAAACCTCAAATAGACACACTCTTGTATGGCCAAAAGTGTTTTACAATCCTCAATTAGGCAACCAAGGTGGGACAAATCAGCTTGGCCCTGTTGTACGGAGTGTAGAGCGCCTTGAGAATCCCCTTCTATATAACAATCCACGTTGGACCATTTGGCAGCATAGATTAGTCCTTCTCTTAATGCAACTAGCTTGGCATGCATGGGATTTGATACTCCACGTAGCACAACCAACTTGCATGCAAGAAAAGCACCTGTATAATTTCGGACCACCAAACCAACCCCACCAAAGCTGGATTCAACATGAAACACTCCACTCACATTTATTTTAATAGCTCCAGTCGGTGGCCGTAGCCATTTGGCTTTGGCACGTGAAAAAAGGTTCTTGGGAGGGGGGTGTAACTCCTGAAACTCCTGCAGACAGTACATTGCTCCACTCACAACTTCTGTGGAACTCCGATGTCGTCCTGTCCAGATCATTTGATTCCTCTCAAACCACAGCATCCACATGCACACCATGACTTTCTCTAATTCATGAGTGGGGTGATCCGCAGCAAATCCATGGAACCACATCTTGAACTCCTCTGTGGAATCAGTATTAAAGTGAGCCCAGGCCGGAAATAGAGACCAAGAATCAATAGCCATGGGGCATTGGAGAAGCACATGGACCACCGTTTCATCAGCTCCACAAAACACGCATCCTCCCAATTCAGAGATGCCACGGTGACCCAAATTATCCTTGGTAGGTAAAATATTCAAGAGAGCGCGCCAAATGAAAATACGGACCTTTGGAGGCACCCGGACTTTCCAGATCTTCTTCCAGACATTGTCAAAAGCTACAATTGGTCCCCCATTCGTGGTAGTGTCGTCCTCGTCTTGCTGGAGCAGAACCCGACGAGCAACTTCATGCCCGCTCCGCACTGTGTACTGACCACCTCTCTCAAAATGCCAAATCAAAGCGTCTGGTGGGTCTCTAAAGCTTAACGGAATGTTTCGAATGCACCTCACTTCCTCGACCGAGAACCAAGCTTGCAAAAGGTCCTCCCTCCACTGCATAGTGATTGGATCAATGAGAAAACACACTTTTGCCTCCTCAAACCCCTGTGCTTGTGGGGAGGAAATTTGGAGAGATTCAGAGCTAGGAAGCCATCGGTCTCCCCATATACGCACACTATTGCCATTCCCGATTCGCCAACGAGTTCCCTGTTCAATGATCACACGTGCTTTGCATAGGCTTTGCCAAATGTAGGAGGATGAATGTCCAAGTTGTGCCTCTAATATAGAGCAGTTCTTGAAGTAACGGGCTTTCATAACGCGAGCCACTAGAGAGGTTGGGGTCTGAATCAAGCGCCATAATTGTTTGGCCAAGAGCGCCATATTAAAGGCATATAAGTTACGAAAACCAAGCCCACCCTCCTGTTTGGGCAAGCATAACTTATTCCAGCGGAGCCAATGTATTTTACGGTGCCCATCTTGCTCACCCCACCAGTAACGTGCCATCACTTGTTGAATTTCATCGCAAAGACCTTTCGGGATGAGGAAGCAATTCATCATATAAATAGGCACAGCTTGTGCCACCACTTTAAGGAGAATTTCTTTCCCAGCAAAGCTTAACAGTTTGGCCTTCCAACCTTGTACTTTCTTCCAAATGCGTTCCTTGAGAGAATTAAAACAATGCCTTCTGGATCTACCCACATGAGTGGGCAACCCCAAGTAAACATCATGTTGGTCAACCCTTCTAACACCCAGCATTGCCGCTAGGTTATCTTGATCAGTACGGTGCATATTATTACTGAATGAGACGGAGCTCTTCTCCAAATTTATTTTCTGGCCTGACACCATTTCATACTTGTGGAGAATATTGCTAAGTTGTTGACAGTTTTGTCGGTTTGCCCGTAGGAACAAAAAGCTATCGTCAGCGAAAAAAAGGTGGCTAACAGACGGTGCCCCCGGCATAGATTCACTCCATGGAGGAAACCACATCGTTCCGCCTGCAAAATAAGACTTGAGAAAGCCTCAGCGCATAGTAAGAATAAATATGGTGAAAGAGGGTCACCTTGTCTCAGCCCTCTCTGTGGGATTACATAACCAACTGGATTTCCATTCAACATGAAAGAGTACGAAACCGTCATCACGCACTCCATGATTAATTGGACCCAGCGTGGGGCAAAACCCATTCCTTTCATTAGGGCCTCCAGAAAACTCCATTCCACCCGATCATAAGCTTTACTCATGTCAATCTTGAGAGCCAGATACCCTTGTCGACCTTGATTTCTCTTATGCATCATGTGTAGCAATTCAAAAGCCACGATTGAATTGTCTGAGATTGCACGTCCCGGAACAAAAGCACTTTGAGTGTCACTAATTAGAGCAGGAAGGATTGCTTTCAGACGAGTGGCAAGCACTTTTGCGCCAATCTTATAAAGGACATTACACAGGCTGATGGGGCGTAGTTGCATCATGTTCTTTGGTTCATGGACTTTCGGGATAAGGGCCACATGCGTGAAATTTATCTTCTTCAGTAATCTGCCTGTTTTGAAGAAATGCAAGACTGCCGCCACCACATCCTCACCCACAAGCTGCCAATATTTCTGATAGAAAAAAGGGGAGAAACCATCTGGACCGGGTGCCTTAGATGGGTGCATTTGAAACAGCGCAGTTTTAATTTCTTCTGGAGTAAACTCTGCCAACAGAGTCTGGTTCATCTCTTCTGTGACTCGCCCCCTTACACCATCCACTACTTCTGTATAATCGGAAGACCCTGTGGAAGAGAACAAATTCTGGAAATAATTAACCACAGTTCGTGTTAACCCTTGTTCTGTTGTTTGCCAACGTCCATGGTCATCTTCAAGAGCTAAGATAGTATTTCTTCTCCGCCGATTAGAGGCCTTGTAATGGAAGAATTTTGAATTGCGATCTCCCGCTTTCAACCAAGTGGCTCTTGAGCGCTGTCGCCAATACACCTCATTTTTTGCCATTAAAGAATCAAGCTGCTTCGTAAGCTCTTTTCGTAACTCCACTGTTTGTTGGGATGGTGGTGCTTCCAACAACTCACCCAATTTCTCCCGTGTAAGTTTAATTTGGTTAGGAAGGTGGCCAAAATTGTCCTTACTCCAGCCCAATAATTGGTGACGAGTGCATTTGAGCTTTTCAGTAATTGTAAATGGTGCAGAGCCTCTACAAGTAAGTTGCCAACCATCTTGGATTGTTTGCATGCAATTTGCATGCTCAGCCCACATCTCCTCAAAACGGAATAATTTCTTACGTCGGCCATTGAAAAGCATCCTTTCACTATATATTTTTTTAGTCATTATATCCTCACACAATTTTAAATTTTCAAAATTGTCATTTACTTTAACCCAATAACGAGGCCATTTTAACAATCAATTTGGTTTCAATTCCAATTCATGAGAATTTAGTAAACAACTTATAAGAAATCAATACCATTCTTACCCCAATTTCATATATTTTAGTAAACAACTTTAATAAGAAGTAAATACAATGTAATAAGTTTCGTACTAAATGTGGGAGCCCAAATTAATCCTCAATATAGTAGTCACTTTCTATATACCATAAACCTAAAGAAGTAAAGTTATAATGAAACAAAGCGGTCCACCTCACTTTATGACCGAGAGCTATAAGACAAGTAATTAAAAGTATTTATCCCTACAACTGAGGTGTCGAGTTTAATTCCCTCCTCCTCCAAAATCATTGATATCCAAATAATAAATAAAAAATATATACATATTATTGAGAAAAGCAAAGTGGGTTCAGGCCCACCCGAGTTACATGGTACGCATCAAAACATCGGATCAGTATGTGTACGAGCCCACATTGTCACTGTCAATTCAACCATTACTACCGGCAATGCTCGCCGTCGCCGGAGCTAAACCCTCAAGGCCCATAACCACCGCCACCACCAACCCACCGTAGATGAAGAGACTTCAGCACAAACCTCTCATGGTTTCACTCTGCAATGCCCTCTTTCTCTTCCCCAACTCTCACTCTCACCAAGCCTAACAAACGCCTCACCGCCAAGCCTCCCTGCGTCGTCCAATCTCTCCTCAAACTCTGCTCTCAAGGCCACCTCTCGCAAGCCCTCTCGTCCCTCGACCTGTTAGTTCAAAAGGGCATCCGCTTACCCACCAAGACTCTCGCTTTCCTCATTCAACAGTGTGGAGCCACTGGGTCTCTCAGAGAAGGCAAATGGGTTCACATCCATTTAAGGCTCACTGGTTTCAAACACCCCCCAACGTTTCTAGCCAACCATTTGATTAATATGTACTTTAAATGCGCAGATGACGTTGAGGCCCGCAGGGTGTTCGATAAAATGTCTGTTAGGAATTTGTATTCTTGGAACAATATGCTTTCTGGGTATGCTAAAATGAGGAATCTGAAGGAGGCGAGGAGTTTGTTTGATAAAATGCCGGAGAAGGATGTGGTGTCGTGGAACACCATGGTGATTGGTTATGCCCAGAGTGGAGTTTGTGATGAGGCTTTGAGGTATTATAGAGAGTTAAGGAGATTGTCAATTGGTTACAATGAGTTTAGTTTTGCGGGTGTTTTGACTGTATGTGTGAAATTGAAGGAATTGGGGCTTACTAGGCAAGTTCATGGGCAGGTTTTGGTTGCTGGAGTTTTGTCAAATGTTGTGCTTTCTAGTTCGCTTGTTGATGCTTATACCAAGTGCGGGGAGATGGGAGATGCTAGGAGATTGTTCGATAACATGCCAGTGAGGGATGTTCTTGCTTGGACTACACTAGTTTCGGGGTATGCCAAATGGTGTGATATGGAATCAGCTAGTGAATTGTTCAGTCAGATGCCCGAGAAGAACCCTGTATCATGGACAGCTTTGATTTCCGGCTATGCTAGAAATGGTCTGGGGTATGAAGCCCTTGCATTGTTTACGGAGATGATGTTGTATCAAGTTAGACCTGATCAGTTTACCTTTAGTAGTTGCCTTTGTGCTTCTGCTAGTATAGCTTCACTTAAGCATGGTAAACAAGTACATGCATCTTTAATCCGAAGTAATTTTAGACCCAACACAATTGTTGTGAGCTCTCTTATAGATATGTATTCAAAATGTGGGGATTTAGGGGCTGGAAGGAGAGTTTTCAAGCTCATGGGTGATAAGCAAGATACTGTATTATGGAACACATTGATATCTGCCTTAGCACAGCATGGTAACGGTATAGAGGCAATGCAGATGTTTGAGGACATGATCAGATCAGGAGTCAAACCGGATAGGACAACTGTTGTCGTCATTCTCAATGCGTGTAGTCATTCTGGTCTAGTGCAGGAAGGGCTTAGATTTTTCAAGTCCATGACTGGTGATCATGGCATTGTTCCTGATCAAGAACATTATGCATGCTTGATTGATCTCTTGGGTCGAGCTGGATGTTTTAATGAATTAATCAACCAGCTCAAGAATATGCCATGTAAAGCTGGCGATCAAGTTTGGAATGCGTTACTTGGTGTCTGTAGAATTCATGGAAACACAGAGCTGGGAAGAAAAGTGGCCGAACACCTTATTGAATTGGAGCCTCATTCTTCTGCTGCTTATGTACTACTTTCAAGTATATATGCCGAACTTGGTAAATGGGAGTTGGTAGAGAAGGTGAGACAACTTATGGATGAGAGACATGTGAGGAAAGAGCGAGCCCTTAGTTGGATAGAAGTAGAAAATAGACTGAATGCTTTCACCGTATCAGATCGGTTGCATCCTCTGAAGGAAGAAATATACTCGGTTTTGGAACAGTTAGCTGGCCAGATGGAAGAAGATGTTTCAGTACCTAATGCTGTGAGGTAAAAATTTGATGTTTTGCTACTTTGCGGGGCGGTAAGAAGGAGAAGTGATATACCATATCCATTCAATTTTTTTTATAATTTGTAACATGTTTTGAAGCTACTGTTTTTAGATTCTTTAAATTTAAATCTCCACAATGACATACTTGCGAGATTTTTCAATAAAAATCTAAGTTTCTGATCCCGTAGAGGGTATTATACTTTGTTTTGCATAGTTCTTTTCTCTCATTATCTGTACAAGACAAGCTTTATCCTCAGGCCTGTTATACTACACTTGAGTGACTTTTCCACTTAAGCTACATGGAGTTTTCAACTTTCAATAGGTACGCATATAACTGCAAAGTATGCTCATTTCTCATTTAGACCACAACAAGCTTAGGCTGTAAGTTTGGGTGTGCTGTACATACTTGACCCAACTTGAATGTTGAAACTTATATTAGGCATGGGCTTCCATTTGGCTTTAGTTTGGTTGGAACTTGTATTGAACTATGGCTGAATTTTGTGCTAAGCCTCTGTAGAAAGTCTCATAATCTTTTTTAACCATTTGCTCATTAATTCTGCACTGTTTCCAAGTGATCTTATCCTGAACTATAAACTTCCTGTGTAGGGTACAGATTCTGTGGGGCAATATTTGCACATGGTAGACCCCATGAAACTTCATGGTGTGAGCTTCTTGACAATTTTCTTGCTTGTCTAATTAAGGAGCGTGGGTTTTTTTTCAAGGATTGTGACCCTTATCAACCATAATGAATTTTTATTTCTCAAAAGTTTTCATATCGTCTATTGAAACAGTAGAGAAAACCATCTTGACATTTGGACAGGAAGACAAAGCTTTACGGATGATTAAACATGTCGTCACAAATTATGTTATTATTATTATTATTTTTTATACAAATGATATTCTACTTTAATTTAATCTAAACTACAGGGACGGGGATTCGAACTCGGGTGAAGAGTGAAGAGCACATCCGCTCTAACCAACTTGACTAAGCCCATGTATGCATCACAAGTAGTGTTGTGGGCTGCTATTGATAGTAAATGTTTCTATAATGAGCATCTCTGGTAAATTCTATTGACCAGATGAGGAGACAGTAATGCTACACCAAGGTTAAAACTTAAAAAAAGTGAGGAACAAAATTATTCTTCTAGATACTACGGTTTCTTGTTATGGGAAACACCATAGAAAATATAATCAAAACCGACAGCCAACAGCCAACAGCTCACATAGCTTTGGACAACCATACAAGTGGACCAACCAAAGAAGAAGATTAAATAAAATCGATGAATACAATTGGACCAGCAAGACAAGATGATCGATTATAACTCTTCACCAATAATTCAATCAAATGGGCGACCCACCAAGATAAAAGATGATACATCTAGATCTAGTCCTAATCAAAATCTTGTCAATAATTATTAAAAATTTACGCACTAATGAACAATAATCAGTTTTTGTACGCATCAATAGGTGCTGCCACAATAAAAATCTGTTGTCTGACGTTACAATGCTTCCTATTATGACCCACAAAAACCTTTTATTTTTCTCTGCACAGCTTGCTCCTATTTACAGCCAGAAAAAGGCAGAAGAGGAGGAAGAAGAAGAGGATAGAATCCGCTCTGCTTCTTCGTTTTTCATATTGGAGATGGGTTCTCATGTCTCTAAGCAGGTACAACGGCGAAAGGCGATTTCGACGGAGAAGAAAACTCTATGTGATCTTCACCAAAACTGTGGTGAGGAGTTTCCAGGCTGTGACTACAAGCCTTCAGACAGGAAAAACTGGATGGCTGGCATCAACCCTGAGAAAGTTCATATAAACAAGATCGTATGGCCAGGAACACATGACTCTGCAACCAACAAGATTGGATTTCCAGCCATCACTAGGCCTTTTGCTCAATGCCAATCTTTGTCCATCTACCAGCAGCTTGTGAAAGGCACCAGGGTTCTTGATATTCGAATTCAGGAGGATCGCCGCGTCTGCCACGGGATTCTCCTCACTTACAGCATAGATGTTGTGATCAATGATGTCAAGAAGTTTCTATCCGAAACACAGTCTGAGATCATAATCCTTGAAATCAGGACTGAGTTTGGACATGAAGACCCTCCGGACTTTGACAAGTACTTGGTGGATCAACTTGGAGAGTTTTTGATCCATCAGGATGAGCATGTCTTTAACAAGACAATCGCGGAATTGCTGCCAAGGAGAGTGATATGTGTGTGGAAGCCGAGGAAGTCACCTCAGGCCAAGGCAGGGAGCCCTCTGTGGAATGCAGGGCACTTGAAGGATAACTGGATCGACACGGATTTGCCATCGACGAAGTTCGAAAGCAATCTGAAGCATTTGAGTGAGCAGCCACCAGTTTCAACAAGGAAATTCTTTTACAGGGTAGAGAACACTGTGACACCTCAGGCTGATAACCCGGTTTTATGTGTGAAACCTGTGACCGGTCGGATTCATGGATTCGCAAGGTTGTTCATAACTCAGTGCTTCTCTAAAGGTGTTGCAGACAGACTGCAAATATTCTCCACGGATTTTATAGACGAAGATTTCGTCGATGCATGTGTTGCAGCTACATATGCAAGAGTTGAAGGGAAAGCCTGAAGAAGCTGAACTTGTTCCTTGTTTGTGTGCAGTGTGTAGTTTTTTTTTTCTCTTGTTGATAAAATCTTCCTTCCCACTATGTAATTTAATTCAATCCATTTTTTCTTGTTATTGTTTCTGTATCCATGGAATTTGTACTGTTATTGCAGATTGATAAGCAAAAGAGACATTTTCTATGCGCAAAAGACCTTGAACTTGCAAGTTAGAATTTCAAAAACCTTAAAGAATCATATGATTTGGTTTGCAACATGGAGTGGCTGAGTGGATAATTGGCCTTTGGATGTGTATTGCTTAACTGCTTTTTGGTTTTTCAGTACCAGAAGTATTTTCTTGGTTAAGGCCGAAATTCTTTTTGTCGGCAGGAACAAAGAAGAGGAAAAGTAGTGTCATTTTTCCGACGAGGAAAGAATTATATGCAAGGTACAATTTTTAACAGATTATTTTCCAGTTCTCTATAGCAATGAATTAAATATGATATATTTAAACATTATAGCCGCCCGGCTATACTATTTATTTAAAAAGAATTTATACGATACCCAAGTATAGCCGGTCGGCTATACTATTCATTTAAAAAGAACTAAAAAGATCCACGTATAGCCGTGCGAGCTATGCGATTTATTTCAAAACAATTTAAACAGGACCCCGTATAGCCGCCCGGCTATACTATTTATTAAAAAAAATTAAAAGAGGACCCACGTATAGCCGGACGACTATATTATTTATAGAAAAAGAATTTGTAAAAAAAAAGACCCCGGTATAGCCGCGCGGCTATAATATTTATTTAAAAAGAATTTTTATAAAAACCCAGGTATAGCCCTCGGCTATACTATTTAGTACAAAATTAAACTAAAAACCCTAGTATCGCCGCACGGCTATACTATTTATTTTAAAAAATAAAATAAAACCCCACGTATAGCCGCACGGCGATACTATTTATTAAAAAAAAAATTAAGAAAAAAACCTTACATATATCCCACCTTTCCTAACTTGCTTCACGTTCATTCAGAACCCAGAACACCATTCCTAGTTACTTCAACAATTCACTGCCACAGGACCCAGCCAGAGTCATTTTCATTCAAAAGTCGCACTACCACTCATTTCTTCTCTGGGACGATGACTTTCGGCGAGCAAAACACGTTTCGAGAGTCGTTTGGGCTCCTCGACCAAGCTTTTCTGGCCGGCATCAATTTCTTCGACTCTGCAGAGATGTATCCAGTGGTTCAGCAAGCCCAGACTCAGGGGAGGAGCGAGGAGCGTCGTTTTGGCCACCAAGGTTGTAAATTAGCTCTGAGAGTATCAGTTCATGCTAATAATGGTGTGCCAGCTTGCTTTTCAAAGTGTTCGTTTTCAGAAAGAGTGGATAGATGAACAATTAATTATTTCATCCAGTATGAAATGATAGGGAAAGCTTGCTTGATTTGTGCATGCCAATTTCTTCATGAAGTTGAAGTTATGTTACTTTTCCCATCCTGTCCTGAGCAGTTCTTGAACAAATTCAATTGAATAAGAAGCTAATTAGTAGCTTGAATAATATAAAAATTAGCTTGAAAAGTAGATATATTATATTTAAATAGTATAGCCGCGCGGTAATACTATTTATTAAATAAATAAAAAAGACCCACGTATAGCCGCACGGCGATACTATTTAATTATATTATATTAGTATCGCCACCCGGCTGTACTATTTATTTAAAAAATTAAAAACCCCAGTATAGCCGCGCGGCTATACGGTACGATTGGTTAAGAAAATTTTGAACCACAGGTATAGCCGTTCGGCTGTACTATTATTATATTATATTTAAAGTACAGCCGTCCGGCTATACGATTTATTAAAAAAATTACATTAAAAAGGTGAGATCAACAATAAATTAAGAGTATGGCAGGCAATACAACAAAGCGAAAGCTGTGTTCAATTCAGTACATTCAACCAATGGGGATTGGGATATGAACAAAGAGAAAGTTCGTCAAGAGTTGAGAAAACTGGATCCAAGATTGCAAGGAAGAAAATCAGGACATACAGAAGAAAGCATTTCCTACTTAGTGTCTTCTAATTGATTTCTACCCACTTCACGGTAGAAGTTACTTCAGATGTGCCTATATCATATGAGAGAATTTCTGTTATATTGCTGGAATTAGATTAGACAAGGAAATGTCTACTACGGTCTACTTCCTTCTACAGAATTTCTGTTTCAGATCTTCCTCCAAGCGTTGGAATATCGATGAGAATGATCCTGCAATTAACATAAGGAAGGTTATACTGAATCTACGTTGCCTACAAGAAGTCACAATGTTACTAGAATGTCAGCAATGCCTAAACCATGCAAAGCATATTTATAGTTTTGAAGCTGAAATATTAATAGCAGATTGAAAGCTATTAACAAGTATTAGAACTTAAAAAATAGGTGGGTGAAAACCTGAAACTTGACTCTCTCTCTGCTGTAGAGAGCCTTTCACCAGAAGTGTGCCTGGGATTTGCTGAAAAACCTATAAAGAAAAATTTGTAAAAATCAAGCACAAATTTAAAGACAATGTCACCAAATACAAGCCCAGCAATGACATAATTGTACCGAAACACGGATAC